ATTCACACACACACACACATACACAAACATTCTCACGCACACACACATATGTACACACACACACATATGTACACACACACACACACACACACACACACACAAACACACACACACACACAAACACACACACATTCTGTTTGTAAAGCGAAAAACAAACAAACAAACAAACAAACAAACGAGCAAACAAACTGACTAACAAACAGGCACATTTCAAACAAGCACATACTGCACTGGATTTCATTTTTGTAAAAGCAAAACATAAACCAAAACAAAACAAAGGTGATAAATTATTTACGAAAATATCAAAAAGATTTGTGTGCAAGGTTTGAGTGCGACCTGAACGAGAGACCACCCATGTTCTAAAAGACGGCAGCAGATCTAGATCTAGTTGTCTCCCTTTGAGCTGTGTTCTTTTTCTCGAGACTCCTTTCTTACAAGATCGGCTCCAAAAACGTGATGGGGGATGCATTTACTGTTAAAACGTTTTACAGAGTAAGTAGGAAGCTATGGTGTTATAACACATACCCCCCCCCCCCTCACCTCAACACACACTCCCTGCCTTAACATTGTGCAGTCTTAATTAATTCAACCAGTTTGTTTCATGATCTTCTTCTTCCATCAAAGATCCACTCCCCTCGACTTCAAAATTCGTCACTTCCTGTAAGTGGGAAGCTAAGGTATTATAACAAATACCCTCCTTTCCCTTTCCCCCAACACACACTTCCTGCTTTGACCTTGTGCAGTCTTAATAAAAAATTAATACAACCAGTTTGTTAAATGACCTTCTTTTTCCATAAAAGATCAACTCAGTCCCTCCACTTCGAAATTCGTCACTTCCTGTCATCACGCCACGCCATTTTGTTTTCTAAGGAAGACAAGACTCTTAGAGTTATCCCCGCTTAACCCCGTTGTTCGGTCAGGTCTGCAGACTGCTGGAAGCTCACGGAGTGATGACGTCATACGTCTCTCTCACAGGCGGACCACACCGTCACCGACAGTCCTCGGGATGGTGGAGTAGGGCGGCGGGTAGGTGCTCCTGTCAAACGGGGTGTCCGGCCGGAACAAGACCTTCACGCGCTGTGGAAACACGATGGTACATGTAGCATGTAGGAGAGAGAGAGAGAGAGAGAGAGAGAGAGAGAGAGAGAGAGAGAGAGGGAGAGGGAGACAGAGAGACACAGAGACAGAAAGAGAGACACGCATACGTACATACACACGCAGACAGGGAGATTTAAGTT